CCTGCATCTGTAGCTGTATTGGGAACAGGCATCTTTCTCATGCTCTTATCATTGTTTTTCTTATCTATCAGTGACAGTTCTGCCTTCACTTTTGCTGCAGAAATTCCTCTTGCTTTTTTCTTTGAGTATTGTCATAATCAAAGAGCAAGAATGCAGAAACCATGTTCGCTTTTGGCATTAGGTTTGCCGGTAGAAATTCCCCTTAGCCATGCATAACTTTTTTGTAAAAATAGCTTTGTGATGACCTTTCTGCCCTCCACCCATCTATCACATGTATATGAATAAGTGACTGAAAGAAAGAGAGCTAGATGGCTTTGGTTCTCTATTTTAGCATAGAGAGAATGAATATACAATTCTGATCCTTGGGTTGTGCCCTCACCTGGCACTGGAGCTGAAACCAAAGCCACACAGAGCAATGAGTCTGTCAGTAAAATCAAGGGTTTGTATCTATGAGGAAGTATCGTGGCCCTAAAAGTGAATTTATAAGGAAGTTACCGCAGTGCTCATTTGTGCTGTTCCAGAAGTGACCTTTTTAAAGACTGACTGCTTTTAAAAACTAAAATCAGTAGTGGACCTGCTGTCTCTACCTTCTTAACAACAAAGGCTTAAATCTGCCAAAATTTATGGCTGTTATTTTCCATATGAAGTGTTGTCATTGAGAACCATACTGAACATTCTCTCTACAACCTCTGCCCATGTCCTGTACTACTGCTTTTCTTCAGGGTCTGAACCATTAGGTTAGCTTTGCAAGCTTTCAAATACCTAGGATGCCCAAAGAGAAGCAAGATATTCTGCTGACCCATATTCTCTCTAAGCTATGGAGTCTTGTGAGCAAAAATTCTACTTTGTGAGCTACTGGCATTAAAGTTGTGAGTGAGCAATTCGGCTACTGCATAAATTAGTTTGCTCTGGAGCCATCCTTCCTGAGCTGAGACAAAAATGTGTGAGCCGGAGGCTAAAAAACTGTGAGCTAGCTCACACTAACTCAGCTTAGAGGGAACACTGCTGCTGACATTTTTCTTTTGATTAAAAATTGTGTATTTCCCATCTCAGCTGAAAGAAGCTTGTTCTACAAACAGTAGAGGATGGAAAGAGATGGTCTAAAGTGGTGATTTTCAACTGTTAACTGGGTTTGGCATACACTTTGAAAAGATCAAGGCCCATGTTGGATGCAGTCACCATGCTACGTCCACAAAGAGGAAGCTCTGAAGCACTGATTCCTACCCTTTCTCTGCCAACATATGGTTTCTTCCCAAGAGGGATGATAAGCTCTAGGATTTTTAATGCAGTCCACACTACACCTGACAGGTATCACCAAAGTATCATGGTTGTCCAGCAAGCTTGGTTCCCTCCCTGAACCGTAGCTGAATAAGTGAAAGGGAAATGAAGGATGAATGTGACTGGAAAATAAAGTGAATTGTGTATCCTGAAGATGTCTGTCTTTTGTTGTGTTTGGAACGGACTGAAAAAATATACGCATGTCCTTTTCAGAGTAATCAAATGATTTAATTTAAATCCAGAACAAAATTTAGTTTCAGTATCACATTTTGGGAAGCACTGGTCCAAAGTATCCCTGTAGTTTTGCAGATCACGTTACTGTAACTAAGAGCTGATTCCATGACTAATCTAGTCTTAATCGAAACAGGCTCACAACCGGATTTCTTTTTCCTCAGAGGGCAAAGAGTTTCAGCCAAGTTTTAGGTCTTCTTTGTTGTAGCTACAACAGCAAAGGGAACTGCACTTTCTTGCTGCAGCAAGTTGCTACAATGCCAAGAGACTTTAAAATGAACATGGAATGAATAGTCCTAAATGTATTGGAAATTAAACATGAAGCTGATGCTTGGCTGTCCAGTGAATACTGTGGGGAAGAAGGCTGCTATAATTAGAAGTCTTTAATTAGAGCACACACATCCAGTAATATACTCTGCTTCACTTTGAATTGAGTAGCTATATTCTGTACTATGAAATACTGGCATCTGCCTTTTGCTGATAATGTGTAGCGCAGGCAGGAAAATGGCTTCATTACCATTTTTTCTATGTTTACGTTCCCCTGTTCCATTGTTCAGAAGCTTCATGTTTGCTTCTTCATATTCAGTCACCCACCATGCAGTCCTGTGATAGTTAGGCAGTATGTTGACAACGTGAACAAGTAAAGCTGATGAGAAACAATCTGATCTGATGTTTTACAGCTAGCTGGTTAAGTTCTGTTACAGCTTTCTTTGATCACATCCAAGTATGGCTGGCCTTGGTGAGATTTTTTCACCCATCATGTTTGCCACCATAGCCTTTCAGGCCTAGTATGTAAACTCTGTATCCCCTTCCCCATTCCTCCATTCATGCCAGCTGGCTGTTCGTTTGAGGGAAGGCATGGGTGGCTTAGACCTGGATGGCCCAGGCTAGCCTGATCTCGTCAGGTCTTAGAAGATAATAAACAGGGTCAGCCCTGGTTAGTTCTTGGATGGGAGACCGCCAGGGAAGTCCAGGGTTGCTATGCAGAGGCAGGCAATGGCAGAACCACCTCTGTTCATCTCTTGCCTTGAAAACCCTGTGCTGTCACCATAGGTCAGCTGTGACTGGACAGCACTTTCCATGACCACCTTTCATTATCTGGTCCCTTCAATGCCTCTGAATGAGCCCTATCATCCATATCTTGATAGGAGACCATGCCATCGTTCCCTCCCAACACCTGTGCAGTGAATATGTTTCCGTTCAGTTGCCTACCCTTTCTTTGCCCTAATCTAACATCAGGTCCTTAGTCCTTCATTAGTCCTGTACCAAGATGACATGGGAAATAGAAAACCCTTTCTGGGTGCTCAGCAATGCTTCCTCTAAGCCATAGAGTCTTGTGAACAAAAATTATACTTTGTGATCTACTGGCATTAAAGTTGTGAGCGAGCGATTTGGCTACTGCATAAATTAGTTTGCTCTGGAGCCATCCTTCCTGTGTTAAGACAAAAAACTGTGAGCTAGCTCACACTAACTCAGCTGAGAGGGAACAATGGTGCTAATGCATTATAAGTGCTGTCTACAAACTTCTTCGATAACTGCTGAGCTATGGTTGTTCCGTTGTGAGGCTAACTCAGGCATGCAGGTGATTAGTGGCAGGATATATATATGCTGGGTGGGTGTGAAAGGAGTGGCATGAGGGAATAGGCAGATAGGCCCAAGAATATATAGATTGGGTCACCCAATTTTATCTAATGGACATATTGTCAGGACACAGGGAAGATGGAAAACACTTCATACAAGGAGTAGTACAGAGTTTTGAACTGGGCTGCCATCAATATGCCGATGACACCCCACTATTTCTGCTAATGGGGACTGGCCAGATACCGTTCGTGGGAACTTAGCTGAGGATTTGGAGGCTGTGGTGAGATGGCTAAAGCAGAGTTGACTGAAACAGAATCCAGGAAAGATAGAGGCTCTGTGGCTGGGGCGGGGAGCCTCAATTAAGTTGCCAGCTCCCAACTTTTGAGAGTGTGCCTCTGTCACCAGCACAGATCCTGGGCATGACTTTGGATTCTTCCCTATCTATGTAAGCTCAGGTTGTGAAGGTTGCCAACCTGGCATTCCTCCAACTTCGCCACGTTAGGCAGCTGGCTCCCTCCCTGTCTCACCCCAACCTAGCCACAGTTATCCATGCAATAGTCACCTTCAGGCTGGACTACTGTAATTCACTCTATGCGAGCCGGCCCTTGCGCCTGACCTGGAAGCTCCAGATGGTCCAAAATGCAGCCACACGAGTCCTTACTGGGATCCCTCAGACAGCACACATTCAAGCCAGTGCTGTGTGAGCTGCACTGGTTTCCAGTGGAGCACCGGATCAGGTTCAGGGTTCTGGTTTTGACCTTTAAGGCCCTCAGCGGTCTGGGACCTACGTATCTTTGGGACCACCTCTCCCAGTATGCCCTTGGAAGAGCGACTCAGGAAATAAGAACTTCCTGGTGGTTCCTGGCCCAAGAGAAATCCGGTTGTCCTCAACTGGTGGAACGCTCTGCCAGAAGACATCCATGCCCTGCAGCAGTTGTGACCGTTCTGCAAGGCATGCAAGGCCTTCAGTTGAGGACAGCGACAAGGCATCCTTTGGCACTCTCATGTAATCCCCCATCCCTTGTAACCCCTCCTCCCAGGGAGGCTGGGGAGCTGGGATTTTTTCTGCCATCTCCTATATTGTTTGTATGCTGTTTTTATCAATTGGAATTTTTTGGGCTGTTTTAACTTACTTTTAAACTGAGATTTGTATATTATTTTGTTGTAAGCCACCCTGAGCCCCACTTGTAGGGAAGAACAGCCTAGTAAATCCAGTTTAGTAAATAAATAAATAAAAATAACTAATTAACTTGTGAAAATTATACGCAGGACCTATGGAGTTGAATCCAGCCTGCAGTTTCCTCTGAAAATCCTCTCTGAAGGTCAGCAGACCCTTTCAAACAAAACATGCTGCAGTGTGGGGTGGTGCATCAATTAGGGGAAATTCAGGAAAAATTGCTTCCTTGCCCTCTTCTCTGCTGATATTATCTACCAGTGGAAGAGTGAGGAGGAGATGATGTTCCTCTCCCCCCCCATTGCTGCAGCTATTGTGGCCCATTTTGTTTGCAAAGCTCTCCCAGCCCTGAGAAGAGAACTTTCAAAACAAGCATCAGGCTGCTCTGGAAATTTCCGAGACAAGAGATGAGAGCAAATCTGTCCATATCCCAGCTGAAGGTACTACTCAGCACCACACTGGGGATCACTGAGTTTTATATGGAAAACTTCATAAAACTCTAGAGGTGTTATTTGTTTTCAGTATCATTGAAATCATAGTGTACAAGAGCTATGGTATTATTTTGGTTTTGTTCATTAAGAACTTCTGGTCTCATCACTGTAGAGGTTCTGTAAAGGACAATTGTGTGTACTCAGTATGATCAAGAGAGAGAACACAAATAAGTATTCAACAGTTTTTTAAAACAGTTTGTGATGGCTGTGGTTGATTCTAAGCCTTCTTCCATGTTGTCTTTCAGCTGTGGGTCCAGATTTTTCCAAAAACTTCTTGAAAAGATTAACTCTTGTAAAAGTTGGTGGTGAAGTAACCATCGAGTGTAAGCCTAAAGCTTCTCCAAGACCCACCTTTACTTGGAAGAAAGGAAAAGAGATCCTAAGAGAAAATGAGAGGTAATAGCCAAAAATAACTATTGGTTTTCAATGCTGAAGTTATTAATACTTTCCATGAAAACTGCTTGAAAATAAATGTGAAAAGAGCAAGTGTTCAGCCTCGGCAAAGGAAGCCAATATTGATTCCTGCAGTCGCTACGCTCAGTTACATTACCCTGCCCTTTCTAGTATTTTAAAGAGCAGTACTTGCGTTCTGAATGGCTTTAAAAGAGCAGTTATCAAAAGCCTCTTCCCAGGGGAGCTTAGAAGCTATTGTTGGTTTCTTATTTTTGGCAATTTCTTTTGGTGTCCTGTTAAACAGAAGTGATTTAGGGATCAGCTGGTCAATTTTAATGCTGTTTTGGAGAGAGTTCTTTCAAACTGGTCAAAGTGTGTGTGTGTTGTATGTGTGTGTGTGTGTAGAGTAAGTCCCCTAATGTAGTTCGACTAAGCAGGCAGACAGCTGGAATATTTTGAAGTACTTTCAACATGGTTTCTAGGTGTTGTACGCACAGTTTATGAAACACTGTTATGCACTCAGCACTCTGACTTAGTAGGCTAATCTTACTGGACTCAGTTAGCACCTCTGACATACATAGATATACAGATATGTTAAGTGCTATTGATGATTGTAATCACAGTAACTGAAATCAATCATAAACATATATTCAGATATTCACTTTGGTTCATTGCTTAAATGCATGCTGGGGGGAAAGGCCAAATGCTGACAGGCAGTTATACTGCTTGTGACCTTGCTTGTTCTGGCCAATGATAACTGCACATGTTCCTGATGTCAGTTAGCCTACGTTAGATGAAGAACACATAGCACTATGTACCCATTAGATACTTTTAGAACTTCATAGCCTAGGAAGAAGGAGGCCCATTGTTTAACTAAAGGAGATACACTTTCGCTTGAGAAAGTCCAATCTACAGGTCCTGGCCCAATCAGAAAGGTGTGACGGATATATGACAAAGTTTGATGGAACCAATAATTATGATTTATTTCTAAGCGTCCTATGGAGTATAAAATCTTATGTCTACCATTGTAACCTTAGGGGAGAGCTGTGGGTATTCAAGGGTTCAAAACCTTGTTGTACCTGTGCTCCCCTCCTTTATTAATAAAGTTCTAGTTTTGATTCTACTGTACAGGATTGTGCCGAGTGTTCTCTCAAATTGGGCTAGGGAAGCACAAAGGTATGCACCTGTGCCTTTTGGTCATACAGAGAGATGACAATATTAATGCTGGTGTGTTGTCTCATAATCTGCATTATAAACAGCCCTAAATGGTCTGGGACCAATGTACCTATGGGACCACCTCTCCTGGTATACCCCCCAGAAAGCATTATGCTCTAGTGAGAAGAACTTTCTGGTGATCCCTGGCCTGAAAGATATCCGGCTGTTCCTGACCAGAGCCAAGGTCTTTTCAGCCCTATCACCAGCCTGGTGGAACTCTCTGCCTAATGACATCCACACTCTCCAGGACTTCGTGCAGTTCCGTGGGGTCTGTAAGACACAGACACTCCACCAGGCCTATGATTGAGGACAGCAACGGTCTGTCACTGAGCCTGGCCCTTCCATCGTCCCTCTCTCCCCCATGGGGTAAAGACGGAAATTGGTTCTTAAGCACCATTTGAATAGTCCTAGAGTGATTTATTGTTTTAATAATTGTAGCTGATCTTAAATGTATTTATTGAATTTCATTTACTGAACTGTTGTTCTCCACCCTGAGCCCTATGTATAGGGGAGGGCAGTCAATAAACCAAATAAATAAATAAATAAATAATTCTTTCAGGGTTTCAGAGCAAAACGTTGGAAAACTGGAAGTTTTACATCAATTGCTCTGCACAATGGAATATTAAAACCTTACGATTTTTTTTTAAAAAGAGCAGAATAATATCAGTATTCTGATACCACAGTTGTTCACATGTGCTTAGCAAACTGTGCATTACAAGGCTAGTCATAGTTACCATTTAAGACTCTGGAATCCTCCAGGTTTACCCCCCCTTCCCCCCAAAAATGAATGGGTAATGGGTAACCCACCCTCCCCGATTTAGTTTAAAAAAAAATTGCCTACCAGTGCCATTGTGGTTCCTCCATTCCATTGCCATTAATCTGTATACCCTGTTGAGGGAACTTAATAGCTGAACAGTTTAGTGAGTATTTCAATGAACTATTTAGTAACTGCTGTTCTTACAGGGCAGTCTGGTTGATTTAGATAAGCCTGAAGCTGATCAAGAAAACTGATATTGATGGAATGCAGTTTGCCTCTGTCAAACAGGAAAAATTGACAGAGAAATATTAAGGAGAGGAAAAGACAGAATAGCAAGGTTTAAAGACTCCTTTCCTATCCATTCCTTATGTTGCTGCCTTTTCTGGCAGAAGTGTCACTGTCAAATTCCCATCTGGAAAAAGACGTGGAAGTCCTCAGTAATGCTTAAAAATCTTTAAGTGCTTAAAGTCCATTCATCAAATTTTCAAGATGATTTCCTGAATGAACACTTCAGTCAAAGTTGCCAAGGTCCCTTGCTGAAAATAATCCTTCAGAAAGGAACATGCTCAGGTAGACTAATCCTACATATGTTTACTTGAAAGGAAGTCCCTCTGATGGAGGAAGACTTACTGTCAAGGAAGTGTGTGTGAGGATTTCTCCCTTAGAAATGTTCAGAATTTGGCTGTGTAACTGATTTTTTTTTTTCATGGAAAGCTTTTTTGGAAATATGCAACAGAATGTCATTATTTGGAATGAATATTGAGAGAAGGCAATAATGTGAATCTTATTGTGCTGCTGGGAATCTTCCTCTGGAGGCTCCACAGATGGTGAAGCAGTACCAAGTGTGATGTTTAGATGCCTGCCCAGAAGGCAGAGGCTTTCCTGAAAAAGGAATTTTATTTCTTCAGGTTTTCTGTTCTTCTCATGAAGCAGAGTTAACTGTGTACTGCACCCTTAATGAATAACCCGCCCTGAAGGTATCTCTTACTGGTTGTTTGAAAGCTATACAATTGCATTATTAGAAATTTTGCCCTGGGGTACAATTACGTTATTGCAGTCATTAAAGGTACTTCATCTCCATAATAATGGAAATCCTCTCTTGGAGGCATAACTTCATCAAAGTAAGGCTCAGAAGCCTCACTCCAGAAGGTACATTATGTGTTGCCATAAAATAGATGTAGATATATTATATATTACAAATTCAGCTCTGGAAATAAAGAGTGGTAGATCCAGAGTTCATTATCAGTTTCTGTGATTCCATGAATATAAATGTCCAGTATTTGCTTCAAGAGCATATTTTCTCATATATAATACAGTTATTCAGACATACTGGATCCCTCTTCTTTAAACCACAGCAATGCTCTAAAGTCCTGCTTGCAGGAGAAATACCAACTGAGAACTCATTTAGAATAATTTTTTGTAGTCCTACGAGCTGGTTAACCTGTAACTTTAACTGTTGTTGAAAAAATTAGGGTCCTTCTAATGCTCTCTCGAAAGAGAAATTCTGAGAGCTTCCTGTTATATATGGCAGGAACAAAAAGAAAACTGGGATTCGATTTTTAAAAAAATTGAATGATATTGATTTATATAATTTTTTTAGGGCTATAGTGTAAACTGCCTTGGGATATTAAGGTAGAGCAGGATATGAATGTTTTTATACAAAATAAAAACCACTGGTGTTCACATATCAACAAATAAGTATTTTTCCTTGTTGGAAAAATTCAATGTGTAAAACAGCAAATATAATTCACATTCTGGAATCTGAAATTATAAATATGAGTTAGATTAATGTCTCCATTGTGGAGTGCAAGTCATCCAGAGTGACTTTCAGAATTTTGTTTTGTGCTGCCAGGTGTGATGGACTGCACTTTTTAAAAAGAATTAGAAGTTGTGTATCAACAAATAATGGACTGTGAAGGGTTAATTCTTCACAGAAACAGAGAGCCTTGAGTGACGGTTGCTCCAGGCAATCTGATTAGTTAGCATTAGCTAACTGCCTTAACTGAGAATAACTGACAGAAAAAGGGTTTAGTGCTGACAGAGTCGGATTTCTACCTTGACTGAACACAGTCTGAATTCAGCATTAGCTGAGAGCAGTTTGAGCACAGACAGAGAAATGGGGACATGTTTGGCAAGGGATTTTGGATAGTAAAGAAGACTTCCGTTCAGTCAGAACAAAGTTCGAGTCCGGTGGCATCTTTAAGACCAACAAAGCTTTATTCAAGGTGTGAAGAGATGCATTTTTTTGGAGGTTTGAAATGAGCAAAACCTTCACTCTGAAGTTTAAAAGTGTTCTCTCTCTCTCTCTCTCTCCTCTCTCTCTCTCTCTCTCTCTCTCTCTCTCTCTCTCTCTGCATTTTACACATTTCTTTTGAATCACTCGGTCTGGTGCTGTGCTAAAATTATGCTTGTGAACATTTTCTTTTAAATAAATACTTTATAACTGGTGCTGATGAATGAATTGTCCAGGCAGTGTGTGTGTGTGGGAGGGACTTCTGCAGCCCTGAAAACACGAACAGTGACCCTCCAAAGCTTGATAGGCAGCTCTGGCTGCCAACCAGAAAGCTCCCATTCTGCTCTAAGCCTCTAGCTTGCAGGAAGTCCATTCGATACACTCTTGAACCTGTGACTGCTATTAGTTCCCCAGAGAGTACTTTCCTGGGGGCACCTGCTTTGCGGGGCCCCTACTTGGCTCCCCCAAAGCCAATCTGCACACAACTTGGAGAACGAATAGAGGGGCATCCCAGGAAGGTCAGCTGTGAGGTGGATGCCTCTAGCTTGCAGGGGGACCATTCGACATACTCCTTCCCCTTTTGTACATTGAACCCTAAGATCGCCCCCTCAAAAGCCAATCTGCACACAATTTGGAGGGCAGGTAGAGGGGCATTGCAGGGAGGTTGGCTGCAAGTTGGATGCCTCTAGCCCTCGGGGGCCTGTTCTACTGTGCCACAAACCTCAGGAACCACAGAGAGATTTGTTAAATTGGAAGGTTTGTGGGGGTTCATGCTTTGTGAGACTCCACGAACCTCCA